TCCCTCCCTCTTTTCTTCTCCTTCCTTCTTTTTCTCTTCCTTTCTCTTCCTGTTTCTTCTCTTTTCCCTTTCCTTCCTGCTTTTTCCTTCTCTCTTCCTTTTTTCTTTTCCTCCATCCTCCTTCTCTCCTCCTTTTCCTTTCCCTTCCGTCCTCTTCCTTTCCTCCTTTTTCCCTTCTTCCTCTTTCCTCTTTTTCCTTTCTTTCCTTTCTTTTTCCCTTTTCCTCTTCCTTCCCTTTTCTTTCCTTCCTTTTTCCCTTCCTCCCTTTTCTCTTCCGTTCCTTCCTTTTTCTTCCGTTCCTTCCTTTCCTCCCTCCTTCCTTCCCCTCCTCCCTCTTCTCCCCGTTCTCTTTTCCTTCCGTCCCTCCCTTCCTCCCCTAATGCCATACCTCTTTCTCCATCCGATCTTCCCCTCCCACCTCCTTGACCCCCATCCTCTCTGATCCTCCTCGGTCATCTTCCCCTATCTCCTCCGGGAGTTCTTCCCGTGCAGTTCCTCTTCTTCCCGGGAACCATACTACCCTTACTTTTGCCTTTCCTTCCTTTTTCTTCCTTTCCGGAGACTTCCCTCTTTCACCTTAGTAATCCTCTCCTTCCCCATTCCATACTCTCCTCTTTCCCATTAAGGGATCCTCCATGGCAGACCTCCCATTAGATTCCTTCCTTTCATTAAGGACTTCCTCCTTCCTTCATTAGCGCGAGTTCTCTCTATTAGGATTACCTCCCTTCCTATTAAGGACTTCCTCCCTTCCTAATAAAGAGATCTCCTCCTCCCATAAGAGACCTCCTCCCTTCCTATTTGAAGACTTCCCTCCCTTCCTCATTGAAGACTTCTCCTTCCCTCTGAAACTTCCTTCCTTTCCTCATTAAGAGATCTCCCTCCTTCCTTATTAGAGCTTCCTCCCTTCCTCATTGAAGATCCTCCTCATTACTTTCTCACTTCCTTATTAAGGAGACTCTCCCTGCCTCATTGAAGACTTCCTCCCCCTTCCTGAGAGATTCTCTTTCCACCATGCAGACTTCTCCCTTCCCCATTAGGATCCTTCCTTCTTATTAAAAGGAATTCCTCCTTCCCTACATAAGACTTCTCTCTCCCTTCCTCATTAAGGACTTCCCTCCCTTCTTCATTAAGGATTCCTCCTTCCTTATTAGCATTCTTCCTTCTCTAAAGACTTCCCTCCTTCCTCATTAAGGAATTTTCCTTCTCATAAGTGACTTCCCTCCTTTCCTTTCATAAAGGGACTTCCTCCCTTACTAGTGATTCTCCTCCCCATTTCACCTCACTAAACATCTTCATAAGCTACCTCTTATTATAATTTCCTTCCTTCTTTTTTCTCATAAGAGATTTCTCCCTCCTTATTAAGGATTCCTTTATTAAAGACTTCCTCTCCTTCTACACGAAATCTCCCCTTCCTCATAGAGACTCCCTCTCCTTCAAAAGGGATCTCTCCCTTCTCTATTATAAAGCCATTCCTTACAGACCCTTATTAGGACTCCTCCCTATTGAAGACTTCCTCCCTTCCTTATTCAAGGACTTCTCCTCCTTCGGCGATCCCTCCTTCCTCATTATGACTTCCCTCCTCTTCCCTTCAAGAATTCCTTCCCTCATTAAGGATTCCTCCCCTTCCTCATTAGGACTTTCTTCCTTCATTAATGATTCCTCATATGATTCCCCTCCTCTTATATGAACTTCCCTTCTTTTCATAAGGAATTCTCCTTCCTCTACACGATTCCCTCCTTCCACATAAGATTCCCTCCTTCCTCATAAGACTTTCCCTTCCTCTCATTAAGATTCTCCCTTCCCTATTAAGGATTCCCTCCTTCTCATATGGACTTCCCTCCCTTACATGATTCCCTCCCTTCCTCATTAGGATTCCCTCCTTCCTCATTAAGTGATCCCTCCCTACATGATTTCCTCTTATTAAAGATTCCTCTTCCTCATTAAGTTGATCCCTCCTTCATTAAGATTCTCCTTATTAAAGAACTTCTTCCTCATGACCTTCCTTCCTCATGATCCCTCCTTCCTCATTAAAGACTCTCTCCTCCTCACCAGAATTTCATTCTTTGCCCACAACTACCACAACACACACCAACACACACACTCACCACACACAACCAGTGTGTTCATTTGAGTCTACGCACCTCGTTGTGCCCAACACCATCCCTTCTTCAGGTAGGTCCTGCCTGGTGTTTGTCTGTCTTTAGTACAACGCCAGAATTCAGAATTACTCACTGACGTGTAAATAACAGCTATTGCTGACTGACTGACTGACTGACTGACTGACTGACTACCGACTGATGTTGGTTTAAGGACTTCTACCTTCTCTTTAGTGAGTGATTAAATGCCTCGCTTACTTACTAACTGACAGACCTAACAGGAATAATGAAATCAGTCAACGAACAGACTCTGTTTGTCCGTCTTTACTGACTCGACTGACCGATTGCCCACTGACTCAGCTGACCGATCCACTACTAACTCTTTAACCAACCGGAAAGATTGACTGGCTGATTGACCAACTTCTTAACCACTTCCACTGATTGACTATTAACTGCTTGATTGTTAGTTGACTGACTGACTGATTTACTTGATGACTGACTTATATTCTGATTAACTGACTGTCTTACTGGTTAACTGACTTACAGGTTGAAAGAGTCTAGTGGACTGATTGAATTGTTGACTGACTGATCGACTGGTTGAAGTGAGACTGATTGACTGTTTGATTGACTGACAAAATAGTTGACTGATTGACTGTGACTGCGTAGTTGTTCACTGCCATAGTGGTGAGAATTGAAGGTAAGATCCTCCTGGTCAAGTATTGTACTCTCTCTCTCTCTGTGTCTGTAATATATATGATGTGCTGTGTGTCTGTCGTGTGTGTACATAGTATATATATATATATATGCTATATATATGTGTGTCTGTGTATATATATATATATATATATATATATATATATATATATATATATATATATATATATGTGTGTGTGTGTGTGTGTGTGTCTGTCTGTATATATATATATATATATATATATATATATATATATATATATATATATATATATATATATATATATATATATATATATATATATATATATATATGTGTGTGTGTGTGTGTGTGTTTTAAGTCTTAAACAGATGGTAATAAAAGCATCTTCACTATCCCTCGATTCTCTCTTCAATACTTCACTTGACCTTTTTGCTAGGAGTAGATCACCCCGAGACGCCCACCTGCTGCTGTCTGAAGGTCAGTGCCATTGTCTGTCTGTCTGTCTAACTGACTCTGTCTGTTTGTCTGTCGGTCTATGTGTCTCTATCTATAGTAACTGGTTTATCAAGTCTGTATATATATTTTTTTAATTTCCACTTTCTCTCGCTCTTTACAATTTTCCATTAAATATTTCCATTTTTTTTAGTTAAGAACTTTTGGCTTTTACTTTTGATATTATGAAGTAAATAAGAAGAAAGATATTCACTCTTGTATTCTCTCTGGTGATAATTAACATGAGTTTCTTATATTTCTCTTCTTGAGTTGTGTTTCCTCACCACAGTTGATAAGATTGTACTGTTGACCACACCTGTGTATCTCTCTCTCTCTCTCTTTTCTCTTCTCTCTATCTCTCTCCTCTTCTCTCTCTCTCTGCCCGTCTTTCTCCTGGTTCAGTAGTTAGAGGGAGGCAGTAGTGTAGACATAGTTAAGGTCAGTCAGTCCCGTGACCCTTTCTCTCTTCTTTACTCCCTGGCTCTCTCTTTCTCTCTTCTTCCTTTGTTCCCTCTTTCACTGTCTCTCTCTTCTGGCTCACAGTAGTTTGAGGGAGGCAGTAGTGTAGCCACAGTTAGGGTGGTCAGTCAGCCCCGTGACCCTCGAGGCCTCATGTCGACTCTTTGCCCCGCCAGGTTTCATGAATGTGGGCAGCAACACACTACAAGCTCTGGCCCAGCTGCACGGTAAGTGGCGGCCAACCTGGATGTGCTGGTGAGAGTGCACGAGTTATATACTAGATGCTGCCACCCACCTTTTGCCTCTATCTCTCTCTCTCTACTTTCTCTCTCATTCACCTGCTATGCCGCCCCCCCTCCTCATGCCACCCTCATGCCCCCCGGGCCCCCGTGCCAGTGTGGGACCCTTACTTGGCCCCGTCTCCTGCCCCAGAAAGTGCCAGCCCGCTTATATGCTGCTGTTCAAAGCAGAAAAACAATTGTAATGTAAGCCAGCCAGTCCCCTTGTAGCGTAAGCTGGCTCTCCTATACCACTAGTAACTAGCCCCTCTGGTACACTTGGAAAAGTTATTCAGTTACGGTACTGTGTAACACTAGAAACGTAAATTTTCCTCAATAAACGTTTAGAAAAGTTTAATGTGTTCCTGGTGAGTTGCACTGTCAGGCATCGAAAGAATAGCGAGCTAGTAATTACAACAATTTTAATAGACCGCTTTATATACAGTATATGGACTCTTTGTTCATCACAGACTTATAAATTGGTTAAAAAAATCTGACTTTAAATTACATTAAGAAATCAAATTGTCGAACATGACAAGTCCGGGGGAAGAGGTTTCCTATTACAGGGAAGAATATATATGTTAAAAATACTACGAATATTAAATCCATTAAAAAAGAACACGACCCTGACCTCACATGGCCTAAGGATCTTACCGTAGTTTTGGTAAGTTACGGTAGAATTAGTTAGTTAATTTCACCTGAAAAAACAGCTTGGCCGGTCTTGTTCGTAGTTTGCATTTTAATACTGTCCATTTTGTCTGGGGGTGGGGGGATTTGAGAGGGGGATGGACAGTCAATCGAGGTCTGATCTGAACCCACTGCCGAGGGCCGAACACCCAATAGAAACAACAGGATTCGTATTTTAAATAATTTTAGAAGACTTTTCTAATATATTACGGTATGCACGTTGGTTAGGACTGTTAATACACACAGACCATTGTTTTTAGAAAAATAAATGAGTGGGGTTTCAATTAATTTAGGGAAGAATGAAAACTGAAAGCCTTGAAATCTCCCCAAGTCATTTGGAAAAATTATTATGAAAAATATATTTTGCAATGAATAGTTTATATAATCTATATATATAAATAATCATGAAACGTGATATAAATCAAATTTCTGGATATAAAAATATGGTTCCTTTATTTAAATGAATTCGGGCTTCATTAGTACCAACGTCAACAGTACCAAAACGTGACTGTGTTTTACTGACTGGGAGTTGTGTCATTCACTTACGTGGCTGTGGCTTAGGTATACCAGACCTACTGATATAAGCTACACTGGGGGACTTTGGTGTGTGTGGATCAGTGCAGTAATATACCGTACAGTGTGACGACCTTCACCACATACAGTAAGCCAATGTTGAGAAAATAGCACATTTATGAAGGAAAAACAAACACGTATGCAAGGAAAAGGGCCCTTGGTTATCTATGGTCATTTTAACTTATTAGTTTCTTAAAGAATTTATTTTTTTCATATAATACAAACACCTCAGTAATGTACAGTACTGTCGACCACCTGAACCAACCTAACCGGAAACCAATTTATCCAAGGTAACTGTTTGTTAGATTAAGTTGGGCTGGTTTTGTTGGTCGGTAAGAGTGATTTACTTTGGAGTGGATATAATAAAATAATGATTACCCCTCTAGTAACGAGGCTGGCTGGCTCTAGAACTACCTAGGCATGAATATGTTTATGGTGTAGAAGCTGTCGTCAACCCAACAACCATACCCTAAGTTAACGAGTTGCATAACCTAGTGTCAAGGAATAGTCCGAGAAGGCCGGACATCTACCCAACTGCACTTGTTAACCATTACCCCGGAACACGATCCGCAAGTCGATTAACTTCCAGGTTCCCATTTACTGTTGGGTAGACAGTGGATATACTGTAGGTATGGCAGCCATACCCTAAAAATTACAATGGATATAGGTACAGCAGCTGTATTGGTGGACTGCTGTTAATGGTTAGGTTAAGTTAGGTTAGTCAGAAAGAAGGCCATCCTAGTAACTATCATTGTATAGATTGCCCACTATGCTTGTGCATTAGGATGTCATACCAATAGACATTGGCGTTTTGCATACAGCTGCCGTACCTACATCTTGTTCCTATTTACTTCAGCAGTTGGTTCAGCCTTCATTCTGATTGGTTGAGGCTGATGACATCATTTCAATATTTCTGGCAGATGATAGACAGTTATATTACTGATTCCTGTTTGAGTTTGACTATTAGTCCAGCACATCTTTTCACAGAACAACTCCTATGTTAACAGTTATTCTGGAATCTTTTATACCTGTACTGTAATAATCTAGAAATTGAGATTGTTCAAAATTTTCCATAGCACATTTTACTTCCTTAAAGGATTTTTTAAGAGCATTGCCTACACACAAAACGTCTGCATCCACAGCTGCCATGTTTGCAACTGAACAAATTCAGTAATCAAGGATGCGTTGATGTCATCAGCATCATCAGCCTCTACCAATCAGAAAGAATGCCGGATAAACAGCGGAAGTAAGGGTCTGAGACCAGACAATAAACACTAGGTATTACAGATCCATTTTTTTCTTGCATTCTTCACAGCATTTTTTCTTGCAGTAAAATTAATGTTTTAGTGAAATTTAAGTGGAAAATTACCCTTAATTAACCATAAGCACTTCTGGAAATTTATCTCGATAGCATAATGCTCTTACAACAATCCAGAAGAAATTGTTATAGAAAAAGGTTTGGTCCACAAAGCATATGAGTCAGGGTTGTGAAGTGCAAAAAAAAATGGTAAATCTAAAAAAAAATATTTTGTTAGTGCTGTACTTAATGATGACTTCTTTTCTTTAGAATTTTCGCTAAATTTGTTGTTATATCACATAAAATCCTAATCTGAATTGGGAACAAGTACACTGTGGCCTCAATGACTTTGGGAAGATAACAAGAACTGTCAATTACACTGTGTTATATTTTAGCTGGACTGGACCACTGAGCAATATATACATTACTGGTACTAGGTACTCTACTTGAACAGTACTACTCCACAATATTCTTGTTAAAATCATACTGTACACAGTTTGGTGATGGTTTGGGCGACTTTGCTGAAGTACCATAGGTCCTGTGATCACAGCCTATAAGCTTAAAAAAAAAAGTAAATAAATAAATCTTTTGCTCCTTCCACGAACTTTGGATTTTATATACTGTATTGAAACAAATGTTTTAATGAAAATCGCAAAGAAAACAAGCTACAATATTACTAATTCTACTAAATCATTGTACATTTAACAAACATTTATTTTTTCATGAAGAACATTTACATGTGTTTGGGGAGCAAGGAAAGAGTAACTTTAAATTTACTTAGGAGCAAGTTGGCCATAGCCTCAATGCTATCAGTGCTTCAGCAATTTGATGTACACCATCTCAGAACTGTGTCCTAATTTAACAGGAACAAAATACCTAGTACAGTACTTCTAAACTTAGTACATTACAGAATATTTTGTGTAGTGGTTCATTCCAGCCGAAGTCAGTGGTGGTCAGTTAAGCTATAAAGGCATGGTGGCGATGACCAACTTTCTGTTCCCTAAATTTATTCACAATAATCTTTTCCTGTTTCCTGAACTGAGTTTTGATTATATATTGCATCAAACATTTTAGTGAGAATCCAGAAGAAACCAAACCATTATGAAGTTGTACCATCTGAGTCAGGGTGAATGGAAAATAAGTCACAAGAAAAAGTCACAATTTTGGCTATGGAAAAGTCAGTAATAAAATCAAAACCATTTTAGGCACTTATGTTAGATTGGGTTGTGTTAGGTTAGGGTAAGCTGGGTTGGGCTAGGTTAGGGTAAGCTGGGTTGGGCTAGCTTATAATGGTTAGGTTGGGGTTTGAATGTTTTTATTGGTCCTTGAGAACAAACTAAACTATCTGAAAATAATGATTTTTTCACTTTTTTCCTGTGACTTTCCTACATTCCTGAGCCAAAACATGACATTTTTAGTTTTGAACTCATTTAGTTTCTCACATCTGCTACAAGCAGAAACAGTTCAGTGAATGCTTTTAATTTTCCTGAGCCATATAGTGGCGAAGGTCGTGAAGTATGGCAACTTTCTTGTCCCCACCTTTACAATGCTTCATCTGTACAGTTTCTTCGAGAGAATGTGTCGCTTACCAGGTAGTTGCAAAGGCTGTTGCATTTGGTATTAAACCAAAATGGAAATTGGGATACTTGTGAAGCTAAAATTTCATTTGAAAACTTTTTCTTAGGATATAAGTTCCAAATTACATAGGATTTTATGTAACTGGTGGTGGAGTAACAAAACTTTATAATTCATCCTATGGGGAGGCTTTGAACAAAATTCTGAAATGTTGTAAAGCTAAATGAACAAACAGAATTTTCCAATATTTTTTTTTTTTTTAAATATATTAAAATATTATGAGGTTAGGTTAGATTTGGGGACTTTGTTTTGCCTGTCATTATTATAGGTACAGTATGGGACTGAAGCCTTCCAGTGGGATTATTGCTTATATAATATGGTGAAACCACATAGTTTAGCCCTGTGGGTTAGCTCCCAAAATGGCCACGTTTGTGCACTTTGGTAAATAAATTTGAAACTTGGTAGAGTTATATACATGACCTTCACAAATAAGTGTGGATATGGAAACACCTTGACAATGCTAAAATGGCTATACCCGGTAACATTGCTCTTACTCATTACAGGTATATTTGCATTCTGTTTTCAGGTATGAACTTCTAAGAACATGACCATACAAAGAATATATAACTGACAAAATTATTGTTTTTAATACTAATTAACACAATATTGTGTAACAGATGTAAGTGAAGATGTGAAGAAAATCATCATTTTCATTACAGTACTGGAGCATAACTACATCTTGAGCTAATTGTCCTACTTTTAGTCAGTGCATAAAGGGAAGGAAATTTTCATCTGTATGTGGATGCACTGTCAGCTA